GTTGTCCAAAAAAGTAATTTGTCCAAACTTTGAGCAAGGACATGCATGGCAGAGCCCCCACCAAAAAAAAGGTCAAAGAAACATCTATAAAGCCAAAAACTAAAACAAAGAAGACAGCTACATAAGCAGGTAGGCATCCTGTTAGTGACTTCTGTGCACATAAATGAAACTTGCACACTTGGAGGGCATGCAGAAGGCTATTCTCTTGCTCTTGCATTCTCTCCCAAAACTTGCAGTTGAGCCCCAGAACAGGCCACTGCTGCTCCATCTTACCAGAGGGAAAGGGAGGGAGGGAAAACTGATTCAGACTATGAAGATCCAGCTGCTCTGAACTCTTGCAGAAAGGAAAAGGCAGGTATGCCCTCATTTCTTCCCCACCCCACAATGAAAACTGAGACCAGCTGTATGTCTAGATCAGAGGTAGGCAACCTGTCCCCTTTAAGGGCCGAGGGACTTCAGCTCCTAGAAGCCTCAGCCATGTTGGCCAATAGTCCCATGTTAGCCAATAGCTCCTGGGATTCTGGGAGCTGAAGTCCCTCAGCCCTTAAAGGGGAAAGGTTGCCTACCCCTGGTCTAGATGGACTCCCTTTTCTCTCTCTTCCCCACTAGTAAGTGATAGTATCTAGGGGCAATTCCAAAGCATGAGAGCTGCCAGGCTATGAGAAGATGTGGAATTGTGCATGTGGAGCTATATGCACATGTATGATCTTTGCCATAGAATGTTCCCACAGTGTTCCAAGTTGTTTCTTCTCATCAACACAAATGTTTTGCTTTCCTAGAAAAACCTGTTGGCCTTATATTCTCCAAAAACATGGTGGCCACCAATGGGCAGAAGGAATAAATATTCAAAGGTGGGGGGGGGGCGATTTGTCATTGCTACCACCAGCAAAGGAGGGTTCCAGAAACAATGACAACATTCATTTTCACCCTTTTCCTTCTGCATCCCAGTTTCATAACAAAATTTGTCTTTGCAGAAAGTCCAGTTCAGAACTACATCATAAAATTTGGTATTTTTCTCTCATAAGTCCTGGGATTTCTCTAGTGATGGTTGAGGGGCCACAAATACTGTGGATCTTCATCTCTATGGCTGGAAAGAGAGGTCCAGCCTTGGAGAAGGAGGTCTACTTCATGGACAATGGCATAGCTTTCCAACTTTGTTGCTCCATTACTGTCAGCAGTAAAGACTTGGTTCATCCCCATGCAGTGACTGAAATAATCTGAGAATTTTACTTTATGCTGCAAGATGGTAAGTTTTTGTTTTGTGTTTTTGTTTATTCTAGAGAGATTTTGAATATTTTTGTTGACTCAGAAGCTACAGTAATTGCAAAATGAAACAGCAAGATTGCTAATTGGAGTACCAGATAACACCAGCCTTAAAGGAGTTGCACCAGCTGCCAATTCACTTCCCAGTCTGAATTCAAGGTGCTAGCAATAACTTGGAGCCCTGAACAGCTTGGAACCTCAGTATCTGAAAGAGCACATTTCTCTCTCTCTCTCTCTCTCTATATATATATATATATATATATACACACACACATACCTGTCTGAGAATTGGGCTCTGCAGGAAGGGCCCTTCTCTGTGTCCCAGCAATGGGGGCAATACAAAGTGGGATGACATGGGAGGTGGTCTTCCTAGTTGTGCCATTCCATTGGTGGAATGCTGGTACCAATGTTCTTTTTTTTTTTTTCTGGTGCCAAACCTGAACATGGCTTTTTATTAAAGCTGTGGAGGAGTAATTTACTTTGAAATCTACATGTTTTAAATTGTGGCATCTGTAAAAAAAATGAACTGTTGTCTTGTTTAACATGTTTTTATCTTGTTTATATTGTGGTTTTAATCTGGAAATATTATAAATTATTTCTATTGTACACCACCCTAGGACCTCCACCATAAAGGACAAGATCTAAATATTGGACCAAATAAATAAATAAATAAATAAATAAAGGATATGGCCTTGTTATTTTGGAAGTAGGTTCTTGGGTCCTGATTAGTATCGTGGCCAAATATTAACAGCACTCCAGTGGCATAATAAAGGATGTTAATTTGTGTCCAGTTGACCCTGCTAGATAGTTTCACTTTAGTCTGACAGTTCAAATCTGGTAACATAACAGCAGTCCAGAATGGACCAGGATAGCAAATTAACAATCTGTTTGAACTGATAAGTGTTAGAATGGGAGATGATTACACCCATGCACCTCAGTTTCCTTTGCTTGGTTCTGTCAACTTGTGCAACCCCAGGGATTCATTATTCAGTTGCCTTAACCTGGAAGAAGTACACCCTTGCCCATGGGACACATTATCCAGTCATGGGGAATGGAAGTGTTGTTCTTGGCATAGTCCAGGTAGAAGTCATTGTTTAGAATCATAGAATCATAGAGTTGGATGAGGCCTAATGGAACATCAAGTCCAACCCCCATCTCAATGCAGGATCTTCAACAAAAGTAGTTGCCCTTAGTAGATAGCTGTCCAGACACCTTTTGAAGATGTCCAGAGAAGGAGATCCCACATTTCTAAGCATTTGGTTCCATTGCCAAAGTACTATTACTTTCAAGAAGTTCCTTCTAATGTTTAATTAAAATCTATTCTCCTGTAACTTCAAGCCATTAAACCTGGTCATATCTTCTGGAACAGCAGAGAACAAACCTGCATGCTCTCTCTAGGATAGCCCTTTAGATATTTAAAGAGTGCAATGATGTCACCTCTTAGTCTTCTCTTCACTAGTCTAAACATGCCTAACACCCTCAACTTTTCCTCATATGTTTTGTTCTTCATATCTCTTATCATCCTTATTACCATCATCTCTATCATCCTTATTTCCAACCTGATCCAACTTGTCTATAGTTGCATCCACACAGCAGAAATAATCCAGTTTGACTCCACTTTAACTACTATGACTCAGTGCTATGGAGCCCTGGCAATTGTAGTTTTGTGAGACATTTAGCCTTCTCTGTCAGAGAGCTCTTGTGCCACAACAAACTACAAATCCCAGAATTCTATAGCATTGAGCCATAGCAGTTAAAGTGGTGCCAAACTGGATTATTTCTGCAATGTGGATAAAGCACAAATCCTTCTTAAAAAGAGGCACCCAAAACTGAACATAGTACTTCATAGAATCATAGGCTTGATTCTACCACCTTCTTTGAACTGATGCTGAAGCAATCAGCTAAAACCTTTCTTCTGCTAAAATCATTATCACCAATAAAGGTTTGTTTTGTTTGTAGTAATGATGTGTGTACCTTTTGATACCAAGCAAAGTCTTTGAGAGGGCTGGAATTTCAGACAATTCCACTCATAACAAGTGGATCAAAAAGGAATGGAAATTTTATGTGAAGAGGGCATAGGAGAAAAGCAATAGCTGACCATTTTTCATTCAGCCTAAACTGAAGTATCATCCCCCCCCCCAAAAAAAAAAAAACTTGTGAATCCTGGAAGTAAAGAAGCATCAACAAATTTACCCACATAACATTTCATTTCTTCAGCTGGAGTGAGCAACCTGTCATCCTTGAGATGTTGTTATACTCCCATTTCTACCATGATTGATGGGAATGGTTGTCCAGAAATAGCTGGAGAAGCATAGGTTCCCCAGCCCAGCCCAGGTCAAGTAGGCATTGTAAATTTCCCCAAATTCCAGAGCCAGGGAAATAGAGAAAAATCAACAAATTTCTCCATGATGAAGCATTTAATTTCCTCTGCAGAGCTCTGACTTAATGTTTTATTGTCTGTCTAAACAAGAAACTGAGCCCTTGAGGGAAGGAAATACCAATTCAAATGTCTTGATTTCCAATAAACCTTCACCTGTCACTCCTAGAGGAACAGAAAAGAAAAGCCTGTTTCAGAACTCCAAAAACAAGCCTCACAGCTACCTGAAAAGCAGCAGAGTGGCAGAAGGAAAAGGTGTTTAACTCTTACCTATTTGCATTTTCTTTGCTTAAAAATGCCCCACTAGGCAGCTCTCTTTTGCTAAAAGGAAAATACAGACAAGATATTAAGAAGAAAGAAAGGAAAAGATGGGAAATGTGCGTTACCAAATCCACTTCCTTACCCAGAATGTACTGCTCCCATTACAAAGTTTCATTCCATTTGGTTGGCTTACTAATAATTCAGTAGGTGTAAGCATTATTCTCCTCTTTTGCTCAAGTAAGGTCTTTGTGTACCCTCTGTGCTACACTTTACCAACACTGCTGTATTCAGGACAAAATACAACCACACAAAAGTAGACCTTGGTTCACAATGTGGGATGTCCCCCAACCTTCCTTTTCACATGCACTTTAGATGGGAGCCCAGTGTTCCAAAGCAGATTTTGAGGGTGCATAAAGAGCTTTAGGCCTTTAAAGGAATATTTCCCTTAAATAAGAATTCTGTCCCTCCAATGAAATTTTTCCCCAGTCTCTAAATTTCTAGCATTGTAAGAGAGTAAGACATTGATACTTAGAACTCTTACATTTGTTTTGGGCATTTTCTAGCATATTCCCTTGGTAACTGTCTCCTCCCTTTGAATGACTAAGCTGCATTTCCAAATGCTTCCAAAAATTGAGACGGACATCCTATTCAGCAGTTACATGATCAAAAGTTAGACTTAGCCACTCATAACTCCTGGAGATTTATTTGTATGGTCACAAACCACTGAGCATGACCACAAAACATTAACTTTCACAGCCTTGCAGCACACTGACGGAAGTATTTCCAAGACGCTGCAAATGGGGGCACTAGAAATAATATCTGCAGCACTCTCCCAGTTATTGAGCACATTGAAACAAGCAGGTGTGGCAGCACTATTCTCAAGTACTACAACTAAGACCCGGAGAGTGCTGCAGACATCATTCCCCAGATCATTCTTATCTACAGGAAATACTTTGGTCAGGGTTCTTCCAGGCTGCAAAAGTAGGTTTTTGAAGAATAGCATTGCCAGACATAAGTACAGCAACAGAACTCCATTGTAGTTCCCTTGCCAATGCAGGATCTTGGCCTAGTGTTTTTTGTTACCGCAATGGTAGAAATAACCAGTGTAGTGTAGTGGTTTGACTGTTTGACTATTGCTATGGAGACCAGGGTTCAATTCCCAGCTCGGATATGAAACCTATTGGGTAACACTGGGCAAGTCACATGCTCCCAGCCTCAAGGGAAGGCAAAACCCCTTCAACAATTATTGCCAAGAAAATCTAGGATAGGTTTTCCCTAGTGTTACCATAAGTCAAAAGTGACTTGAAGGAACACAACAACAAAACAACAACAACAACAAATTAATGGGAAAGTGGCAAAAATCTTATCTGGGGGGAATGGCCCTCATTTTGCCACCCCCACCTGCCATAGCTAGACCCCTACAGCAGACCTGGCATGTCATGAAAGGACAGCTCATTGTTGGTTATTTTAATTGTTGTTGCATTTTTACTGGGGAGAGATACTTGAAAGACTTCCTTTCCCCTGTGAAAAAAAAAGTTTATTTTTTTACTAACTACTAAGCTTCTTGACTTGAGTGAAGTGTGCTATTTCTTACTCCAGGGCAGTGAAGTGTCCTGGGTAATCCCTGTCCTGATCATTAGTTCAAACAGGAGACCATAGCAAACCCTCACAAGAGCTAGAAATATATGCAATCCATATATATCCATTTATTATTATTATTATTATTATTATTATTATTATTATTATTATTATTATTTATCCCACCCCTCTGCAAACACAATAGGAATGGCTGACAACATTAAAATATAATAATAGTACAATATAACTCCCAAAAAACCATCCACCCCTTAAAATAATATTTTACATAGGATATCATATCAGTTTGTCATGAAAAGACAAACATCTAATTGGGAATTGATAAGATAGCAGTTTGAGCCAGACCAAATTGGATTGTTGTTGTTGTTGTTGCTGTTGGACAACTACATTTGCAACAAGAGCAATGACATCTGCTTTGTGTTCATTACTCTAGAAATAGAAACAACCAAGAAGCACTCTGTCTTTGGCTTATTATACTGCTTATTAACTAAAATGATACGAAGTGCCACAGCATGTACAAAAAGAATATTCTTCATTACCCATCTAGTTAAACCACTATACCCCCTGCTGTGCTTTGTTTTTTCATTGTTCAGGATGAGTCATAGATGTGCAACAACTGTAAATAAGATGACTATACTCAAGCACAGAGCAAATATATTTTTCCATTTGCAAATTACTGTCTCGTAGAGTTTTATGTCCTGGTGTTTCCAAAGATATGCTCAGGCCTCTTTTATTGCTATTATGATTATTTTATTATTAGTTAAATGTATATCACATCTTAATTTCAACTATCCTCCTCCTCCTCATATTTATTTATATCTCACCTTTTCCCCAGTTCAATACTCAAGGCATCTTACAACAATTTTTTTAAATAGCTAAAAATTCACACAGTACAATAATTAAAAAGTGATTAAACTATCAAAAAATAAACATTTAAAATATCAACCATTTAAAAAAACAGCACAACAAAGATAGCAAATAGAAAACACAGCACATTTTAGTTGGAATGGACCTTGTACAGTCAATCTTCAAAAGCCTGTTGAAACAGAAAAGTTTTCACCTGTTTGTGGAAAGAGAGTAGGGAGAGTGCCAGTTTAAACTCTCTGGAAAAACAGTTCCAGAGCCTAGGGGCAGCCATTGGGAAGGCCCTTTCCCATGTTCTCACAAAATGTACCTGTGAGAGTGATGGCACAGAGAGAAGGGCCTCCCCTGCAGATCTCAAAATATGGGCACATACATACATGGTCTTTCAAAGAACTTGGATCTAAGTTGAAGAGGGTTTTACAGTCAAAAACAGCACTTTAAATTGTGTCCAGAAACAGACTAGTAGCCAGTGGAACAATTACAATAAGGGAGTTATGTGCTCCCTGTAACTAGCCCCAGTTAGCTATCTAGCTGCAACTCTTTGGATTACTTGAAGTTTCCAAATACTCTTCAAAATCAGCCCCACATATAGTGTATTACAGTAATCCAACTGGGATGTAAGTGAGGCATGAATTACCATGGGCAGATCTGACATATCAAGGAATAGGTTCGGGTGGCATACAAGCCTTAATGGCACAAATACACTCCTGATCACCACTGAAACCTGAGTTTCCAGGCTCAGAGTTGAATTCAGGAGCACACCCAAGCTGCAAACCTATATGTGCTGGGGCAGTATAACCCAATTCAGCACAAGCTGAATCCCTATTCCCTAAATTTACTAGGAGCACCCCCATTTTATCTGGATTAAATTTCTATTTGTTCACCCTCATCTAGTTCTTTACAGATGATAGGCATTGATGTAGGACCAAACATCTTCCTTGGACTGTGGTAGAAAGGAGTAATAGAGTTGAGTTTTATCTACATACTTATGGCGCCAAACCCCCAAACTCTGGAGAACCCATCCCAGCAGTTTCATGGATATGTAAAATAGCATGGGGGACAGAACCAAACCACGAGACAGGTCAATGGCCAAGATCCAATAGTAGTACTCCAGCACTACCTTCTGGGTTCATCCCAGAATCCACTGTAAAATAGTGCCTTCAATTCCCATCCCAACAAGCTGGTCCAGAAGGATATCATGGCTGATGATATCAAAAGCCACTGAGAAGTCCAGTAGAACCAATAGGGACACACTGTCTGTTCCTGGATAATGTCATCTATAACGGTGACCAAAGCCATCTCTGTCATATATCCAGGCCTGAAACAAATTGAAATGGATCTAGATAATCTGTCTCATCCAGAAACTCCTGGAGCTCAGAGCCACCATACACTCCAGAACCTTGCTCAAAAATATAACATGAGAGAGCAGCTGATAATTATCTGGAATAGTAGGATCCAGGGAGTGGGTTTTTTTAAAAAAAAAACTATGATTTTATAATAAGTTCATTCAAACAAGAAGGCATTCTGCTTTGTTTTAGCAAGCATTGACCACCCCCTCTACCCATTCAACCAATCTCCCTCAAACTTTTTTAATAACTCAGCAAGGACAGCTAACACACACTCTTAACTCTTCAATAATCCTATTCACATTCCTGGGCTGTAGAAATTGAAAGTATCCACTATCACTGGACAAACAGGGGCCAAAGTTACATCTACTTGATCTGTATCAGTCAGTATCCAAATCAGAACAGATCTGACCACTCAAAGCAATAAGCCCAAGGTAGCAAACAATCTGAGCCAGTATGGTGAAGTGGTTTGAGTGCTGGACTATGAATCTCCACCGGACCATGGAAACCCACTTGGTGACCTTGGGTAAGTCATATTCTCTCAGTCTCAGAGGAAGACAAAGGCAAACAAGTCATGCCAAGAAAATCCCATGATAGGTTTGCCTATTTGTCTATCAACTTGAAGGCATACAACAACAACAAAGCAAACATAGCTCTTCTCCTCAGTTTATCCTCACAACAACTGTGTGATCATAGATCAAGCTGACAGACATTGGATGGGCCATGGTCACCTTGTCAGTTTCACAGTTTAGTGGGAGAGCTGAAGCAGGATCTCCCAAGTCCTAGTCCAGTACTCTAATTCTTTTAGTGCTTTTGAACAGATTTTTATACTTCTTATTAATGAATTAAAGTGTTTTCAAAGTCAATTTAGAGGACTATGGGCCCTTTCTTACTCTGCAGAAAAATTATTTGTAGGATCATTTCATTCAGACACATACTACAACACAGAAATATCAAAGAAAGTTATGAAAAATGGTATGTGATGGAAGAAATTCAAGGTCATTTTTGGATTTAGAATATCCATTTTTGGATACAGAACATCCTATAAAACCAGCATACATTTTAAAAAGTTTTTATGATCCTCAGTTTTGCAGGCCTGTGTATTAGATGATTATACATTTATCTCAGCCCTTCTGAAAAGGTGCTCTTCATTTTAAATATTCAGATTGATCTATAAAGCTCCAGCCATGTGCTAAGCATACAGCTTCAGAAAGAAGCTTGCTCAGTTGGAACTGAAAGGATGTTTGAATCAATTGTGGTCTGCATAAGATATGCTGTACAATCAGCAAAACCAAAAGAGTGCCCATTTCTTTAGAATGGTACAAAAGTATCATCAAAGTTAGATAGTAATGCAATTATTTAGGGGAATGGTAGAGGAAAATGAGAGAATGACAACTGATTGTTCTGCATAGGATTTTTATTGAGTTGTGCCTCAGGGCAGTAATAAAACAGTAAAATAATTTTGTCTCTCCCCTTTCATAGAATCATAGAGTCGAAAGAGACCACAAGGACCATCCAGTCCAACCACCTGTCATACAGGAAGACACAATCAAAGCACCCCCAACAAATGGACATCCAGCCTCTGTTTAAAAACCTCAAAATAAGGACACTGTGCCACAGTCTGAAACAGCATATTCAACTATCTAACCGCTCTTACTGTCAGGAAGGTGTTCCTAATATTTAGGTAGATTCTCTTTTCCTGTAGTTTGAATCCATTGCTCTGTATGCTAGTTTTGGAAGCAGCAGAAAACAAGCTTTCTTCATCTTCAATATGACATCCTTTCAAATATTTAAACATGGCTATCATGTCACCTCTCCTTCTCTTCTCCAGGGTAAACATACCTTGCTCTTTCAGCTGCTCCTCATAGGGCATGATTTCCAGATCTTTCACCATTTTGGTCACTTTCCTTTGGATACACCCCAGTTTGTCAATATCCCTCTTGAATTGTGGTGCCCAGAACTGGACACAACATTCCATGTGAGGTCTGACCAAAGCAGAATAGGGGAGTACTATTACTTCTCTTGATCTAAACATGATATTCCTATTAATGAAACCTAGAACCACATTCACTTTTTTAAGCTGCCACATCAAACTGTTGACTCATATTTAGCATGTGGTCTACTAAGACTCCTAGATCCTTTTCATGTGTACTGTTGTCAAGCCAGGCATCACCCATCCTATCTATGTGCATTTCATTTTTACAGTTTAAGTGAAGTACCTTACATTTCTCTCTCTTGAAATTAATTTTGTTAGTTTTGACACAGCTCTCTAATCCAGTAAGGTAAGTTTGAATTCTGACTCTGTCCTCTGGGATGTTAGCTCCCCTCCTAATTTGGTGTCATCTGCAAATTTCATAAGTATACC